GAATGCATGGGCATAAGGAACATTGGACCTGAATTTTATGGAGAGAACAACTCAAAGCCTTTTCCATCCTTGGAGAGCCTACACATCAACAATATGAAGGAACTGGAGAACTGGATTCCTTGTCAAATCAATCAGGCAGAATTTCTCCTTCTCAATGAGCTATCTATTGCAGCCTGCCCCAAACTTACAGGAAACTTACCCAGCCATCTTCCATCGCTGCAAACACTTAATGTTAATGAATGTGAGCAGTTTCTTGTGTCACTACCAAGCCTTCCAAAGCTTTGCAGCGTAGAAATCAAACGCTGTAAAAAGGTTGAGAACAGAAGTGATATTGGTTCTGAACCGATAAAATCTGTTGTGCTTTCCAATGTTTCCAAGCTTGAGGTCTCCAGGAGAGGGTTAATAACAGCAGAAGAACTTCAGATTTCAGGTTGCGAGGAGCTGATGTTTTTGTGGCAAGATAATAACGCAGGGTTACTGAAGGAGCTTACTTCACTGCGTTATTTATTGGTTGAGAGTTGTCCCCAACTTGTTTCCTTGTTGATAGATGAGGAGAGCATAGAAGAAGAGCAACTGCAGAAGCTTAGACTCGAAACCTTGCGGTTAAAGGATTGTAAGAGCGTTGAGAGACTCCCACAATGGTTACTTCGCCTCAAGTCCCTAAAGCAGCTAGAGATTGAAGACTGTCCAAGTGTGGCTGCCTATCCAGAGTCTTTTTTGCCTTCCATGATTAGGGAGATTTTGATAAAAAATTGTGATGCACTTTGTCCTTTACTAGAGGCAGTTACTACACAAAGCAGCAGTCATCTTCGACGGTTGTCCATTGCAGAATGTGACTCTCTGAAATCTTTAGGAAGATGGCAATTTCCACGAAGTCTAAAGGTGATAGAGATAACATCCTGCAAGAACTTGCAATTTTTACTAGATGGGGAAATGGTTTCTCTTCCGGTGACACCTGATGTGAATATAAACAGTGACAACCACAGTTCATCTCTTTTTGTGAAGATTACAGACTGCCCATCTATCTTAACCTTGTCATCACAAGGTAAATTACCTGCTTCCTTTAAATTTCTCCATGTAAAATTATGTCCGGAGCTTATATCTTTAACATCTGGAGGCAACTCATTAATGGAGCTTCAAGGCCTTATTGTTGAGGAGTGCTCCAAACTCGAGTTACTTGCTGAAAGATTAGACAGTAACATGCCCCTTAGAAGTATTGAGATTGAGAAATGTGAAAACCTTAAGTCCTTACCTGATGGCCTCTACAATCTGAAGCATCTGAGTGAGATTAGAATCTCTGATTGTCGAGGTCTATTATCCTTTCCGAAGGGTGGATTGCCTCACAACAATCTTAAGAGCCTCTTTATATGCAACTGTGAGAAACTCAAGGAGCTACCTGATAATATACATAGACTCACCTCCCTTGAAGAATTGGAGATATCAAATTGTCCAGGCATCATATCTTTACCTAAAAATGGCTTCCCTACCAACCTAAAATCACTCAATCTCACAAACCTCAGAATCTATATGCCAATGTCTAGATGGGGTTTGTACATGCTCATCTCACTTAGACACCTGACGATCATTGGTGGATGTCCAGATTTGGTGTCCTTTCCAGAGGAGGAAATGCAAATGGCACTGCCCACTTCCCTAATCCATCTAAACATTGGAGATTTCCCGAATCTCAAACGCCTCTCCTCCAAGGGCTTTCAGAAGCTAAGTTTGCTTCAACATTTAATAATCCACGGTTGTCCAAAGCTTGCATCATTGCCAGAAAAGTGTCTGCCTCCCTCGCTTCTGCAGCTTATTATTGATGGCTGTCCTCTGCTAAAGGAAAGATGCATGCGGGATACAGGACAGGAATGGTCCAAGATAGCTGACATCCCCTGCGTTTTTGTGGATAATACATCTGCCTTTCATCCAGGTAGATCTCCAACTCGAAGTAACTTAGCGATCATTTAGTTGCTCATTATCTGCTCTATGTTTTTATGCTGGAGTACTTTTATGATGAAGTTTTCTTCACTGTGCTTCACGTGCCCAGGTATGATGATGATACCCTACTACCTGAATGTCAGAGTAAGATATGACCTAGTGGTAAGTTTAGGGAAGGGCTATCAACATATAACACTGGATTAAATTTCCATATCATTCATGAAACTAAAAAATATATATTCTGGCTCCAATTATTGCAGCTTTAGTGGTGTGGAGGGTGGCAATCTCGTGGCAGTTTGGACAATTCCAGAAGAGGGATAGATCCCTACTATCAATTCCTTTTTCTCCTTACACTCAAGATCCTTAGTATTATTTTTCAGTCTATTGAATAATCATTTTATTTTTCTTGAGATACATGTGATGACTAGGCAAATTTTGTGCCTTGCCTTAGATCGTTACAGTGATAGCCAAATATTCACTCATCAGATTTGCAGGTATGTCATATGTAGCTGCTGCAATGTATGTCTTAGAAAATGCTCCTAGAATAGGTCCTCTCATTATGCTATCCTTCATTTGCTGTCCCCACAATAGAACCTTACTTATTTTCACTCATCCCAACAGAACCTTAATTGTGAATGTGAAAAAAAAGAACCATGACCTGCAGTCTGCATGAATCTTACGCATTTGATGTAAAAGTCATTTTTTATTCTTTATTTACTTTTTATTTATTTATTTTTGCTAGAAAAAGAAAACACAGAAGAAAAGAAAAATAATTTAATGCCATCGGGCTCAGGCTGCATCGCAATGATCAAGATAGCTAATAAGAATGCGGCAAGCTCGTCGATGTAGTAGCTGTCTGAGACGAAGAAAGTTGACCCCTAAGATTAATTTTTTGATCCCTATCTTCTTACCAAAGATTATGCTTTGTTTTTGTTTCTCTCTTGTTTTTTTTTTTTCTTGTCTTTTACTGAATGGAGAAAGGAGTAAAGATGATCGAAATGTAGGGATCATAATTTGAGTGTATTTTATTGTACTTTGGCTGGGAATTTTTCATTATGGCCATTATCACATTGCTACTTTTAACTTTGATTTTAAACAAAGTGAAAAACAAAGTCTACATTCAATTTAGAATAAGAAGAAGACCATATTGTGCCTATGTTATGGATATTATCATTAGAATACCACGACAGTATTTCCACTTTATGCAGAATGTTTGATTTGAAGTATAACTCTTAACTTTGAGATAACTAGTTATCATAATCTATGTTAAAAGTGTATTTTATGTAATTAGGTTAAAAGGATTATGGTAAAATATAAGCATGGGAATATGACAAAGGAAATCCTTCCATTTTATTTGTTAGCACTCCAGCCTTACTAAAAGGAGACTTCAGTACCGCAACACGGACAACCTAATATCGGGACTGGAGAAGAACAATATAATTTCAGTTTCGCAATTTGAAAGAATCAAGATAAGGTAATATTGACGAACATTGGTCGTATTTCAGATACAAGAGCCTCTCAATCTGCATCAAGGGAGACTATGCAAAAAATGCATGGTTTTGTTACACATCGTTTTGAAACAACAAAATAATCAGTCTCCTCTTTTCACCCCACGTGCTCTCTGGATCTCTTTGCTTAGTAAGCAGTGGTGAACCATGAGACCGATACCTATGAAGTTGATTGAGAGGTCGTAGACATCATTTACAGATGTTAATTACATTGTTCAGGCGTCAGAAGGAGACTTGTAATCGAGCATCTCCCGTATATTCAACCTAATGGAAGGACCCATTGAGGAGCATATGCGTGCACTTTTCCAGTACACTCCCTTTGCACCTTTTGGCTTGTTTGTTTCAATGGATTTCTGAAAGACAATCAAGAGTAGTTCAAGTTTGAGATGGTAATGTTCTAACAGATATAACAATGGAGAAAAAAGAGTGATGAAAGGATATCATACTTCGGCAGCAAGGAAGTTTATAATGAGGTCTTCTTCAGAAAAGTCTACTTTTCCAAAAGGTATGTGCACGATTCCAGTTTTATCTGCTCTGTATTCAACTTTCCCTTTCTTGAACTCTTCTATTGCCTGAGATTGAAAATGAAAAAGAAATAAAAAAGAGCATGTTAATCTAGCCAATTCTAAACTAGCTTAAAATCATAAAAGTAGCTGCTGCTTTAGTAAACAAAACAAACTCAAAACCCCTCTTTTTCATTCAGTCTTTCCTCCATATCAGTATGTCATATATGTACAGACAACAATACACTTGCTAACAACATATGGAGCTGACTGAAGCCTTTTCACTCTGATTCCATGACACCATTAGCCTTGGCATAAATACTCCTAACTAAATATTACAAAGAACTCTTAGTTCTACATTTCAACTTGAATCAGCCATCTATCTCCATGTTAACCACAAAATATCATTACGAACACATGCCATAAAAGAACAAACACACCTATACTTCTCCATTTTAGCCACAAAAAAATCATTATAACACCATAGAAAAACCCACATCAATGAGGCGGGTACATGCAAGCAACAGGTGAACGTGCAAGCAAAAGACATTCTTGCAAGTTTATTAAGTATAAATCTACAACGATATTTCTTTGTCAACTTTACATACAGACTGACTGATAGTTGTATATTGAGTTGGTTTCCTGCCCAACCATTTCTCTTTTTCTGTTTTTTCTTTTTCCTTTTTTTGGAGGGTATCTACTGCTCATTTATTGTACCTTTCTATTCCTCTCTACTAATCACTGTTTTTCAATCCAGAAGAAAAATCTAAAAGAGGAACTAACAATACAAGCACCAGTAACTGCTTACCAAAAGAAAAGAATAACACCAGTAACTGAAATCGGAAAAATGCAAGCAGGGAGATCATACCTGAGGTATATTTGTTGTGACAGTACCAGCTTTCGGATTTGGCATGAGCCCCCGCGGTCCTAGAATTTTTCCCAAGCTAGCAACCTAACACAAATTGCAAGTAATTTATGCACAAATCAGGA